TGGCATGATTTACTTTTCCATGTTTTTTGGGGGGGGGGGTGCTAGCAATTGAACCCAGGGGCACTTAACCACTAAGCTACATCCTCAGCCTCTTTTTGTATTTTATTAGAGACAGGGTCTCCCTGAGTTATTTAGGGCCTGAGTCAGTTGCTGAGGCTGTCTTTGAATCATGATCCTCCTGCCTCAGCCTCTCCAGCTGATGGGATTACAGGCATGCTCAAYCATGCTGRCTTCCATCTGTTTTTTATAAAATATGTTACATTTCATCTGATACTTGTTGTCTTTCAGAAAATGTATATGTTTCCCAAAAGTTGCCCTACTACTAAATAGCTCAAATTGCTAAATTTCTTCTCGTTTCACTTACACTATCTGTCCCTCATCACAGAATCCATCTGCTCCAAACTACATCATTATAGGATAGTTTTATTTTACTCGAGTTCTGTATCATCTTAAGTATTTTTTTGTGCTTTTGTTTTCTCATGTAGGAAACAAACTCTCAGGTAATTACTAATATGATTTGCTTCCCTAAAACAAGCCTTGGCGTCATAAACAAAAATTATTTTCTGTGTACATAAGGAAACATATTATTTGACATAAATTATTTTATATTGTTTATAGAGCACATTTTTCAGCATTTGGTAAGCCATTAGCAGTATCTCGCCTAATATCCAAGTTGAAGGCCAAGCTTAAAGATAAACAGACTTGGTCAATAGAATCTTTTTCTTTTTTTCGATACCAGGGATTGAATCCAGGTATTCTTAACCACTGAATCATATCCCCAGCCCTTTTTTACATTTTATTTTGAGACAGWGTCTTGCTGAATTGCTTAGTGCTTTGTTCTTACTTTGAACACAGTTTCCCTGCCTCAGCTCCCAAGTTTAGATTATAGGTATATACTACCTGGGTTGCCAATAGAGTCCTTTATGAAAGTTCTGTGCCAATAAGGCATCAAATCTTGTTAGCTCCTTGTCCCAAACAATAATTTTCAGATGTGGCTTACTAGCAGTCATCTAGCAGGGGTTTTTTTTGTTTTTTTTATTTTTTGGTAAGTGACTTTCCTTTCCCTGTTTTAAAAGTAGAGACAGATTCTCCCGTATAAAACACATATATATGAATAATTTCTTTTTAAATTTTTGGTTTTTGTTTCATTTTTTTCCTTATTTTTCAGATTCCAAATTCTTAAAAGCAGATGTGAGGTGGGGGTCTATCAAATCTCTCCCTTCTCTCCCTGCCTTTTCTTTTCCCTCTCYTTTCATATGTTAAATACCCTATTTCAGAACCACTCTTTTGACCTGTATCCTATATAGAGAAAGAATATGTTCGTCTTATTGATTGACCCTGGAAGCACATTTTTATGATCCTGTTTTTGCAGACCATTAAATATAATACACAATGGGATTTTRTGTAAATTCTTATCACTATATATTTTATTCCTAGATAGTTGTATTGTGAATTTGATGAACCTTGCTCTCTGAGTAGATTTAACATTATTTCTGGATATTGTAGTTTTTCTTGGAAAATAGGATGGTCATATGGCACCATTTTATTAAATAGTGATGGATTTTTGTACATCACAGCGATGTAGAAAGATCAAATTTGGTTGAAAATGAAAAGAGCTGTTATATATAGTCAAACATTAGCCCTTGGTGAAGTGCTGTTACTGAACTGTAGACCAAAAAAAAGTGAATAGATGGCATTTCTATGTGATATTCATTGTCCTATTCGAATATGTAATGTTTTAATGTTTTTGCCTAATACCAATGTTTGACATACAGGATGAATAAGTATTTATTTAAAAATTTAACTATTTTATAAGAGTTTAAAACGCTTTTATTAAATACACATTCTATATGCCTATAATTATTTGAATTTCCACATGCTTATTTACTGAAGACTATGCTGACAAACATGCACATGCTCACAGAATCCTGGACACTGACCATTTTTTTCTTCCCACAAAGAGTGAAGCTGAGATTTGTTTTTTGTTTTTTTGTTTTTTTTAGGTATGAATAACTAAAAAATGACATGTGATTAAAAAATTAGTAATATTTATTGTTTTAGATGGTATGCATCTATGTCTTAATTCATATCTTCAAGTTCATGTTACATTTGAACAGCAAAATCTTTAACAGCTAAGAGAATRGATGTAAAAAATAGAAGTCCACCCTTAGAGAATGTGAGACTTTTTGAGAATGCAGTTATGTAGAGTTCAGATTGACAGAAAAAAAATTGCTATGAAGTTAGAATGTGGAAATTCAAAAGGGCATAGATATAAAAGACAAGAATGGTTCAGAAAAATGTTACATGRTTAGGAAGGAAGGATAATCAATTCAAATGAGAGTTATTGATCTCTTTTCTCTCACAAAGAGTAGGAATATGATGATGCATGTATAGTCAAAGGATGATTGCTGGAAAAGTTAAGGTAGGGTATTTGGATCTTGTCTCTCCCATTACTTTAAGTATATTTTCCAAAAGAAATAGCAAGGTTTGAAAGATATTTAGTTGGTAGGTGGAAGTTAAAATGTCATTAAGAGAGAAGAGGCCTCCTCTCAGGAGGAAGTGCCTTTTTGTTTGTTTGTTTTGTTTTGTACTRGGGCTTGAACACTGGGGCACTTGACCACTGAGCCACATCCCCAGCCCTATTTTGTATTTTATTTAGAGACAGGGTCTCACTGAGTTGCTCAGGACCTCACTAAATTGCTGAAGCTGGCTTTGAACTTGTGATCCTCCTGTCTCAGCTTCCAGAGCCACTGGGATTACAGGCGCCCATTGAAGAAGTGTTTTAACATTAAAACTGATCGGTGGGCTGGGGATATAGCTCTGTTGGTGGAGTGCTTCCCTTGCATGCATGCAAGGCCATGGATTCAATCCCTAGCACCACACACACACAAAAAAAGAATAGTATATAAGGTGAAATGTTGGTTAATGCAGAAATTAGTTACATGAAATGTAAAATTTTATAAAATCATTTATAAAATAACCGAAGTGTAGAGTATGGTAGCTTGAATTTATTATATGTGAATTYGTTAATTCAATACATTGGCATTTGGAAAGTAAATCAAAAATTGATAAAGAAAGACATAGGGATAGGAATACTTTCTTTTAAAATTGATAAGTGATAATGAAATCATGTTGATTTAGGAAGACAATTAGAATCTTAGAAAAATTTTTGAAACTAAACTCCCACTCTAACCAGCTAATCAAACATTGGCCCATGGTAAAAGTGTACATATGATAATCCTGAGTCTGCTATTAGTAGTTAAACGTGCATGCACATTTTGCTTTCAAATATAGTTGATTTTGAAGATTGTTTCCTTTCTTAACAGGGATATAGCTAGTGCAATAAAAGAACTTCTTGATACAGTGAATAATGTCTTCAAGAAATATCAATACCAGAACCGCAGGGTAAGTAGAAACCTTGCTCCTTGCCACCCGAAATATTGTTTACACTTGGTTATATTATTGAATTAAATAGTAAGAGGATTTGATTATTGAAAATTATGTTATTAACCATTAGGTTTGTACTCAATTTAAATATGCTGTTACATGTGTTTAAATAGATATTGCTAAAAATGATGCTCTGAAACATATATGCCATATTCTGTGTAAACTCTAATCTTTGACTTTATTATTTATTATTTTTTCTTGCTATTCATAATGTAGGCACTTGAACACCAAAAGAAAGAATTTGTAAAGTACTCGAAAAGTTTCAGTGATACTCTGAAAACATATTTTAAAGATGGCAAGTAAGTAATGTTGTTTTCCTTTTCTTTTAAAATTGAATAGATAATGTTGTTTATATGATATTAAAACCATGTAAATTAAGCCCTTTTATTAAAATATTCGTAATGCTCAGAGCAGTTAGTGACAAAGGCAGARATTATTAGAAAATGAATGGCTGCTAACCCAGCTATTAGTAGCAGGAGTTGTTAGAATTTTTCAGGAAAGGGTCAGATAGTGAATATTTTAGATTCTGAGTCTGTGGCAATTGCCCATCTCACCTCTGCTGTTGTGACACAAAAGCAGCCATAGGTAATATAACTAGTGGATATAGYTGTATTCTAATAAATGTTTATAGACACTGAAATTTAATTTTRTGTAATTTTCACCTATCACATAATGTAATTCTTTTGTTTTTATCTTTAACCCTTTAGAAATATAAAAGCATTTTTACCAATTCCTGAAGCAATGGTTCTAAAACTTCAGTAGTTCTGATTCTGTAGATCTGGTGTGGGGGTAGGGGACAAGAATTTGCATTTCTAAGAAGTTTTCAGGTGATAATGAAGCTCCTGGAGATTCAGTATGCTATCCTGTTTGCATTTTAGAATCACTTGGGGTTCATTTTTTTAAAATCCCTTTTCCTGGACTCCAGTTTCAGAAATTCTGACTCATTTATCCCAATGTGGGTCCAGGGTCTAGATATTTGGTGAGAGAGCATTCCAGGTGATTTTAGAACACCTCAAGGGCGCTGGGGTTGTAGCTCAGTGGTAGAGTGCTTGCCTAGCATGTCTGAGGCACTGGGTTTGATCCCTAGCACCACAAAAATATTTATATAAATAAATAGAATAAAGGTATTGGTATCGTGTCCATCTGTAGCTAAAAAAAAAAAAAAAAAGCACTGCAAGGGTTAGGATCCAGTCCTGGAAAGGAGGCTTACATTGGATTTTATGGTATCATTCTTTTATGTAAGATGTATATGTAAATTTGGAGTGGTTTTTAAGTTTACATTGGATTGATCATAGAGAACTATAGAAAACCTAGAAGGTTTTGTGTTTTTACATATATACACATATTTACATATAATGTATAAACTGGTTCAGAGGGCAAGACATGTTTTCTGTAGCTTTCTTTCATATGGATAGTTCTTTGTATTTGAAGTAAAATGCTAGGAGTTTTGTGAACAAGCCTGTTTTCTAACAGTGTTTAAGGTCTCAAACACCTATTCTTTTTGATTTATTGGAGCTTTAAGATCCCTATGTACATACCAGACCATTATGATATTGTTGTAGTAATATTTTAAAATAAGGAAATGCACTGTAATTCTAATTTTCAGTCAGTTTTAACAGTTCAAACAGGTTGAAATATTTACATTTATCTTATACATTATATCATATTAGTGATTTTACTTATATGGATTTTATTCCATAATTCTGAGAAATGCTTCTTTTTAAAAATATATATATTTTGTTTATTTAGTTGTAGTTGGACACAATACCTCTATTTTATTTTTATGTGGTGTTGAAGATCGAACCCAGGGCCTCCACATGGCTAGGCGAGCGCTCTACTGTTGAGCCACAACCCCAGCCCCAGGAAATGCTTCTTAATGACTTCATTTTATAAACTAGATTTAATCTGAAAATAAACTTATCTTTTTCTTTCATCTCCTGTGCAAAGTTCAAATAACCAAAAACATTAAAAGATTAATTTTCACAATGGCATCATTATTTCTTATTCTAATTAGTTAATAAGAATTACGGAATAAGCACATTGAAAGGTAGAAATTTAGAACCTACTTTTTTTTTTTTTTTTTTTTAAGAGAGAGAATTTTTAGTATTTTATTTTTTAGTTCTCGGCGGACACAACATCTTTGTTTGTATGTGGTGCTGAGGATCGAACTTGGGCCGCACACATGCCAGGCGAGCACACTACTGCTTGAGCCACATCCCCAGCCCCCTAGAACCTACATTTCAATAATCTGAATTTATTTACTGTGTCATGTATTATTCAGCTTCTTGCTGATACTTTTTTTTCAATTGAGCAGCTTCTTTAAATTTCAGTTTTTTATGTATGGATAACATGCTATAAGTTTTGTACCTGTTTTCTGAAAATGGAAAACTATTCTTAAGTCATTTTTTAATAGTAGGGGTGAATTTGCTTTGATTGATCTAATCAATTTCTGCTTCTTTTTTGAGAAATGTCTGGGATAAAAATACAAATCTTGACTTTGCTAAGAAATCAGTAAAGCTGCACTGTAGGACTAGGGCATCAGTTTTGTGTTCCAGTTTACATAATGATGGACCATTAAGACAATATGGTGGGGGGGCTGGGGTTGTGGCTCAGTGGTAGAGCGCTCACCTAGCACTTGCAAGGTCCTGGGTTCGATCCTTAGCACCACATTAAATAAATATATAAATAAAATGTATTTTGTCCAACTACAACTGAAAAATATTTWAAAAAGAATATCGTGGAGCATAAAACATTTTTAAGGAGTATATTATTGTACATTGTCAGGTCCTAGATGTTGAAACCACATGCTTATTTTATTTCAAATAAGTGTATTAATTGTAATTTGAAAGAAGAGAAAGTTGGTATAAATCAGATTAGAAGTAATTTTTCTTAAATATTTATCAGGCTCTTTTGAATTTCAGACCTTGAGAGTGAGTATAATACTTGTCCAGATTTTGTTGACTTCTCTGAAACCACAGCAAGAGATCACATCTGAATCCTCCTTTGGCTAGTTATTTGACTTGTTATTTGACCTGTGAATGAACTTTTCTTGATTATTGAGGGACTGACTCTTATCATTAACAACCCTCCAACACCTTCTTGCCAGCCAGAACCACCAGGGGGCAGTAATTCCTAGACCCTATAGTTTGAAATGCTACAACACCATTAAATCCCAAACTAGAATGAAAGTTTTTAATACTCACTACTAATGTTTTTATTTTCCCAAATGATTTTGTTGCTACTGATACATGTCATTAAGGATAACTATTTTGAAAGGGTGAATTTGGGGGGTGAAATTAATGCATGTTCTTTTTCTTTTTAAACAGGGCAATAAATGTGTTCATAAGTGCCAACCGACTAATTCATCAAACCAACTTGATACTTCAGACCTTCAAAACTGTGGCCTGAAAGTTGTATATGTTAAGAGATGTACTTCTCAGTGGCAGTATTAAACTGCCTTTATCTGTAAATTTTAAAGTTTGACTGTATAAATTATCAGTCCCTCCTGAAGGGATCTAATCCAGGATGTTGAATGGGATTATTGCCATCTTACACCATATTTTTGTAAAATGTAGCTTAATCATAATCTCACACTGAAGATTTTGCATCACTTTTGCTATTATCATTCTTTTAAGAATTATAAGCCAAAAGAATTTACGCCTTAATGTGTCATTATATAACATTCCTTAAAAGAATTGTAAATATTGGTGTTTGTTTCTGACATTTTAACTTGAAAGCGATATGCTGCAAGATAATGTATTTAACAATATTTGGTGGCAAATATTCAATAAATAGTTTACATCTGTTAAACATTTCTTTACTTGAAAAAAGATGCATATATATATGTGTGTGTATATATATGATCAGAAGACCAAGACAACTTGGTATAATATCTAAAGAACTTCTAATGGGAACTTACTAGCAGTTTATCAAATAGTAAAGCAACAAGAATTCCTATTTTTTGTCCTTAATCACTTTGGGCAAAAAGTAGTCAACAGAAATATTTTTGTTATTACATAGGGGGTACTGAATATTTTTCCATTATTTCCAGTCTGTTTTAAGAGACTTCTGAGAAAGAGAGAGCAGTTTATAGTGTCTTCACACTATAATGCCACTTTTGGAACCATGTAACATTGTAGATTTTACTCTGAGAAATTAAGTATTTCTGGTATGCTGGGCCCTAGTAAGCTTTGCACATCTCTTTTTCAAAAATAGCCACAATTAATAGTAATTTAAAGTTATACCAATAGTTGGTTTGAAATTGTCTTGAGTGTTACTATTATATACACTCTTTAAATATGTACAATTTTGTTTCACCATAGAGAAGTTTTAAGGAAATTATGTATTAAGTATTCATGTTACGTGATTTCATTTTTCAATTATAAAATAAAGGAAAAAATCAGAATTTGTTTATCTTTTATAAAGATATTAAACTAAATTCCTGTTGACAATATAATTTTTTGCTATAATGCAGTTGTTATTTTTTGCTCCATTTTTTCAAAATGGATTTTTAAAGACTTATTATCATTGACCACATAAAAGTAAATCATCTTGTTAAATAGAAACAAGAAATATGTGGGAAGAAGCAAAAACCTCGATAGATATTGGATGAGATATCATAATTTATGAACATTTTACTTGATTTTTCTTCAAGGATACATCGCCAGTAAGACAAATAGAATTGGTGACTTTACTATTTATTTTGGGCATAAAGTATCATTCACTCTTAGAAAAAAAATAAATGATTATTTGCAGAACAGACTTGTGAATATATGAAGAAAGAAGAGTTTTATTTGGAACATGCTTTTCTTACATAAACCAAATACTGTCATTCCTCCTGTTTTATTTTCTTAACAGAACTTGGCAGTTACCAGGCATGTCCCAAATCACTTGTTTTATAAGCACTCTTTCTCTTTTATTGCCGACCATCTCTGGCCTTCTGTTTTCATGAACTATGCCCCCAGAAAGGGGGCTAATTTTCAGAACGTCTTTATTTGGAGATTTTGCTGTTTGGGATGTTTAAAATACTCCTTCCCAATACTTAASAACATGAGTTTGTTTTTTTGTTTAGTTTTTTAAGATTATATATTAATAATAATCAGGACATGTGGCTGGCAAACTAATGTAAGCCCTTTATAATTTTTTTAACTATWTATGGAAATAATTTCCAATTTACAGAAAACTTCCAAAAAGAAGAATATTACAAAGAACATCCATATACCTTTAACCCAGATTAGCCTGTTAGAATTTTACCTCCTTTTTTTTTTTTTAATCATTTGTGTGTTTTGTTGTTGTTGTTGTTGTTGTTGTTGTTGTTGTCCTGCCTTAATTATCCCTCATTTGGGCTGCCTTTGACTTAAAAGGCATTGACAGGTGTTTGAAGAGAAAATTATCTTTCCCCTTGTTCTTCTCTTTTAATATAATGTTTCTTATTTGGGGTTTCCATGTGATTAAATCCAAGTTGTGCATTTTTGGTCAGAATACTTTCTTGGTGACTGTGTCATCAGGACATGACATCTAGGAACATACAATATCTTATCTCCTCGTTGGTGATATGAATTTTGATCACCTGGTCATGGTGCAGTTCTGTTTCTTCGATGTATAGTTACTAGTTTTTACCCTGAAATTAATAAACAGTCTCTGTGAAACAAGAAGTCTACATTAACATTTTCTCCCAGCATTTAAAATCCATTGATGATCCTTCAGATTATATTTTGGGAGTTTCTGTGATGATTTTGCAACTCCAGCATTCCTTCCACATGTTGCAGTTAGCACTCAACATTCTACTGAAAGCAGCACTGTCCCCAATCCATGCTTCTATCCATCCATCTATATCTACCTAAACTCYGTTACAGCTATAGATTCAGTTTTCTAGTATTTTTTCACTAACCCYCCCCCCCCCCCAGTGGTGTATAAGTCATTAATGCACTTACTTTGGTGCTGAAATTGCCTTAGATTTGGCAAGAGTCCTTCTCTACTTACATAAGATATTGGGGATCTATATCAGCAGTTTCTCCATAGAACCCTAGGGCAAGTTATTAGATACTTGGATCCAGACCTGAGGTGTATTCATTGCTAATGAGTATATGCTCTAGACCATACAACAGACGGAACTAGGAAATGATGTATGTACAAATATTCATGGACACATTTTGATGTGCTTATGTACCATAAACATGATTTCAGAAATCRTGAGTTCACACCAACACTTCCAAATCCCAGGCATCCTCTCAGGGTGCATCCTTGCCTTCCCCATTCTGTGTTTCTATCTTTTTCCTCAAAACCCTGGTTCCAGTAACATTCACTTGCTCACCCCTGTAACATCTAAAATAGTTACAGAATTGCTTCTGTCAATATCATTATAAAAAATGTATGTTTGCAGTTCCCTCCMTTTGTGTATCCTATCCAAGATTAAGGATAGTTATAATGCTGTTTGTTCATAAATTTTGGTTCTTTTATCCCTCCACTGTAATTGTTATTCGTTGAAATATAATCCAATTATTTTTTCAGTTTACTTGAAGGTTTAAGGTCCTCTCTGCAACCCCTACCCATCCTTGTTGATTTGTTCTTATTTTTTAAATATATAGCACTTAACATGCTTGTAGAAGTCAGAACTATTCCAAAGCATGTAAAAAGTGTAGTTTCTTTTCATATCCCTCAGAGGTACCCACCTTTACTTTTTTGTTTTCCCCTGTAGTTTTCTTTTTTGAAGAACAATAAACCTGTTTTCCTTTTCCCCTTTCCAACCCCTTCCCTGGCATACACGTAGAAAGACAAGCATCCCAGTTTGCCTAGGAGTGAAGGACTTCTTGGAACACAATACCATTAGAGCTAAAACTGGAAAAATCGGGCAAACCTGGATGGATGATGTACTACTGTATTAGTCCATTTCCTGGTACTTATAAAATGGCAGATTGCATAAGTTAGAAGAAAGATTTATTTTAGTTCACAGGTCTGGTCCAAGGTTGGGGGGCCTGTATCTGGTTGATGGCCCTGCTGGCTGTCCTGAGGCTGTGCAGGGCATCATATGCAAGAGATGGACCCACGTGCAGAGCTTCTGGTATCTTCCTCTTAAAAAGCCACTTGCATTCAATCCTGAGGCTTCATCCTGATGATCTCATCTTACACTTATCACCTCCCAAAGGCGCCACCTCGAAACATGGTTATTAAGTGTGCARTCTCTCAATATCTTACAATGAAAATTAAACTCCACTGTGAAATTTGGAGAAAAATCATATTCAAACCATACCAGTTATCCTAATGTCTTTCAAAAAATGTTGTATTGATGCATATTGTAACCATGTTATTCACATACCTGATCTTCAAAAAAAAAAAAATTACACTGAAGTACAATTTAGTGCYACAAAATTCACCCATTTTAATTGTACCATTCAGAGATTTTTTTTTAAATATTGACAGAGTTGTACAACCTAGCCATGATTCAGTTTTGGAATAAGTCTCATCATACCTGTAAGACTCCCTCGTGCCCAATTATAATTACTCCTTCATATTCCCAGTTCTGGGCACTACTAGCTACTTTCTGTTTCCATAGATCTTCCTTTTCTGGGGATATCATAAATAATGAAATAATTGTCTTTCTAGTCTGTTGTTGAGGTTTATCCATATCATAGCATATATTAGCAGTCCTCTCGATTCTTTTATTGCTGAATATAATTATATGCCATATATTTATTAATTTAAGAGTTGGTGAACATTTTAATTTTTTTCTATAATACACATTCAAGTCACTATGAACTTCACATGGAAGTCTTTGTGAACATGGATTTTTATTTGGGGGTAGAGATCTAGGAGTGGAATTGCTGGGTATCTTTATATTAAACTTTTAAAGAAGCTACCATTGTTTTCCAAATGGCTGTACCATTTTAAATCCTCACTAGCAATGTATTGGAGTTTCCTCATTTTTCTACATTTGTTAAAGGGTGTTTCTTATCAACATTCTACTAAATGTGAAATTGTTTTTTTAATTTTTCTAATGACAATAATATTGAGCTTCTCATGGGTTTATTAACTAGTTCACATAGACCTTTCTCATTCTCTTATAGAATTCCATGGTGTACAATAGTTTATCTGATTGATACACATTGACACATGGACATTTAGGTAGTTTTAAGTGCTTTGCAAAAATACAAATAATGCTACTGAAACAAAAGGTGTATATACATAAAATTTTGTTACTACCGATTTCCTTTCCATAAAGATGGCATTTCACATTTACCAGCAATATATAAGGTCATTCCCCATAGMATCACTAATAGATCATCAAGCTTTTGAAATTTTACCAATCTGATGAATAAGAAATGTTATCTCATGGCTTTAATTTGCATTCTGCTTACTACAAGTAAAGTTAACATCTTTTAAGGAAGGAATATTTTTATATTTGTGATTTTGGTGGTTTATGATGGGGAGTCTTTCTCCCCATGCTATTTTTTTTTATCAACCATCTTATGAAAGCATCTGGGCTTGGTGCTTTCTTGGGAAGTAGTTGCTTGATGACTTTATTTCTTTTATGAAAATTGGTTTAAGTTGTTTCTATAGGTTGGTTACACTGAGTCTGTATGTGTGTGTTTTAAAAAATTACCCCTTTCCATTTTTAAATGTATTTCCACCAAAGTAATTTCATTTCTTAAAATTTTTTCTCTATCAACAGCTTTTCCCCTTATTATTTATTATTCTGTATATTTGCACTTTCTTTTTTTCTATAATAAACTAGCAGAGTAAATTGTTACAGTCTTTTGGGTTTTCCAGGATTTTACTTATTAATTTGGCCTGCTGTTTTTCTATTCTGTACTTCTTCATTTCTATTCTGTTTATTATTTTCTTCTGTGAACTTTATTTGATTATTGTTCCGACTCTTTCAGTGGGAATTCATTTTTTAAATTGTACAGTTATTTAGTACTGTGAAATTTTTCCTGATTACTGCTTTAGAACGTATCCCAGTGATATATTTGTTACCATTATTTTTCAGAAATTCTATAATTTTTGTTTGCATTTTCTATTTTGTAGGAGAGTTAGGTTTAATAACTTTAATTTCCATCCAGTATGACCTTCTTAATTTCTGTTTTTCTTGCTTGTATTAATTTTGCTTCTTGTTACCTGGTGATGTTTTCTTTGTTCCCTAACATATGGTCATTTTTTTTTTAATACACATGTGACTGTCTCATGAATACTTGAGAAAATGGTACATTCACTGTTAGTGGAGTGTAATATTCAACATATAGACTTCAATAAAGTCTACCTTATTATATTGTTTAGTAGATGTCCTTGTTTTGGGTGGTTTTTTTTTTTTTTTTTTTTTGGTTATTGTTCATTTGGGACATCTAAATGTTAAGGTGTTCTTTTAGTGGTGTGTTTCTACTTCTTGTTTTATATAGGTCGTTGATGCTATTTGTTATAGAAATTCTTTCTACATCAAAAGTGAAATGTGGATTTTAGTATTATAAATTATCTTTCTCTGCCTTGTTTAATGACTCTTGAAATTTGTCTTTTGACTTTGAGTTAACCATATTCATATTTATTGGTGTGACCATTATGTTTGAGCTTTAATTCTATTATGTTATTTGCTATAATTGCTGTGCCTATCATGTTTAGTTACTATACATCTTTCTCTATTCGGTGTTTCTATTTTGCTTTTAGAAATATTTCTTTTGTTATTGAGGTAGGTTAAAATTTTTTCCTTGTGTTTTCTTTGTATTAGTATTTTATGGTATTTGAATCCCTTTTTGTTATTAAAATTTTACTACTATATGTCAGTTTTAAACATATCCTTTAGCTCTCACCTATTATTTATGACAGTCACTGTTCCTTTTTTCTTTTTTCTTTTCTCTCTTCTCTCACTTGTAATTACATTTTTTCTGCCTTATCAAAACATAAAATTCTTCCATGATTGTTTATACATAATTTTTTACTAGTATTTCCATTTTTATTTTGGTCTAATCTCTACAATAAAATACACAGAATACTTACTATTATTACCTTTGTCAAATTTTCCCAATCATTTATCAGTTGGATGAAGTTGGTCCTTTAGAAGATTCTTCAGGAAGAGCACATCTAAAACAGTATTCTCCAAGTTCTTGCCTATTCAACATTATTTTCCTAGAGTCTTGATATTTGATACCCTGGTTGGTTATAATATCCTTAGTTCACATTTCACTCTCCT